GTATGCTACCAAGTTGGGACTGCTTCAAACTGGATGTTCTAGGGGTCATGTGATGGAGAACAGGTTGGTCTGTATTTCCATTATTCTGGGAATGAGTGGCTTGCTTTTTAGTTGTTCATTCTCACAGAAAAGATCTTGGAAGGCCTGTAACCTTACAGGCTATTATATCCTCGAGGGATGATATCCTTGGACCTAATGAACTACTGAGATCCCTTCTGACCCTGAAAATATATGAAATCCTTTTACAAATGCCACATAGATGCCAGAGTTGCCTTCTGTTCCTAGTCACTAGTCTACCCATCAAATCTCCATCAAAACACGAGGTTGGACGAAACTGCTTTGCTTGCATGTCTTTTGTCCAGGAACATGCTTGTGTGGCTGGTTCTAGCCAAGAAATGCAAACCATCCAAAGAGTCAGCCAAGATAAACAATACAGCTAAGAGCAATTTCTGAACACTTGCTCACAGTCAATGAGGCTTCCTGAATTCTCTTGAAGGCATATGGATATGCCCCTATGCTTGTCTTATTCACATAGTTAAGAGTTAATCTGGAGGCCCTGAGCGTTGTTGAAGCTCTTTTAGACGTCTTAGATGGAAATCTACCTGCCCATTGTGTCTAGTTGGATATACACCCATAAATTTATCATCAAAAGTCTGCTACGAACTGGGCTCTTTCAGTCTCTCTTAATCAGAGAAGTGTTCAAAAGGATTGGGGTTCTAATTTTGAACCTGAGGGAAAATACATTCTTTCCCTTCTGCTGCCTGTTTTTTGCAACAGAAGGTTTGTGTGTAAGAAGGTCCCATGTAGCACTTAATTTTTCTTAGCTTGAAGTACAAGTATTTCCAAAAAGTCTGTTTCCAATTTATCAAGTTCGCTCTGGCCCAAAAAGCTAAGATTCCTTCCCAAATAGAGAAAGATCTTGTCAATTAAATAGCACTGGCTGCAGAAGGGAAGGGGACCTGGCAGACTACAGTTACCAACACTGGATCATGAGGCAAGCTCAGGTGGCAGAGTGGCAAGATGATTTTTCATTTGTCATCAGACTTCTTTCATAGCCTAGTAACAGAAAATGGGGAAGTCCTTACCAACAGTAGCTTCTCAGCCACTCTTGGGCAATTTGGTAGCAGTGATTTCTGTCTCAGAAGCACTACCCCAATTCCCAGTTTGTGGAGAGGAATGTTGCACTTGCAATGTCCCTGCTAGGTATCCTCTGATTATGCAGGCTGACTTTTTTGTAGCCCAGAGCAAGGCATGCCTGGCAGCCACAAAGCTGGCAGAGTTTCTATTCCCTGTGGAATAGGTCAGAACTCCCCTTTTGGCTTTTTCTGTGCCTACATGCCTGTCACTCTGGAATCAAGCAGAAGCTGCACAAGTATGCCAGGAGATGTGCCACTGCAGGGCCTCAGGAATGAAAGGCAGTCAAGATTCAAGTAGCTCAGTTCTACAAGCCAGCTAACAAAGTCTGACACAGACCCAGCAAATGTAAGTCCATCTGCACAAGTTGTTTTAACTTTACATGTAATTTTAGTTGATGCAAATGTTATGCCCAACAGACCTTAAGCTCTGAAACAGGGAGGTCTCCTAACAGCTACGGAAACAAAACGTAAGTAACCAGGTCTTTGTCAGGAGGGCATTCCTCAAAGCCAGAAATGTGCAGTTCTGCCCTCTGGCCTGCAAGCTACATACAGGCTAAAGAACCATATTCGAGATGTGGACATCTATACACTATGAAGAATACATTTGTGAAATACTTGTTTTCCAGGCACTGGTCTGGGGGAGGAAAACAGAAGAATCCCTACTGTTAATTTTTCATAGGTTGCACAGATAACTGAGAGGGAAGAATTGAATTGCCTCCAATGCTAACAGTATCAGTAAAAGGGGGACTCTGAAAGCAAAACGTTTCTGAAACTTTATGTCTTAGCATTTGAAAAGAGAGCAATGTTCAGCACTATTTACTCTCTTGCATCTGAATGTCTGAGAAATCTAGCATTAAACAAGGGAGAGAAATAACTGGTTTTCATTGTTTAAGTGAACACACACGGAATAACTGCCAGGTGTCAGGATGGAAACCTAATGTAAAAGAGAAGCAACAGTGAAGCTTAAATTGGACTATTCCAAAATGGAAAAGTGGCCATGCTCGTTACTTTGGTCCATGTTTCCATGAGTTGGCACTTGTTAATGTTATTCATACAGAAAGACTGCTTGTGATTTACCCAAAATGGGTTTTCATAATATAATCACACAGATATTCTTGAGCCTAGCTCATCATGGAGCATTATATGATGGGGTGGAGCGGGTGAGGAGGGTAAAGGGGTTCTGAGTGAATGTTGATTGCTCATCAAGTTATATACTTGGTTTGGATTGATGGAGAAGGACAGACATCTAGATCAATGAGGATCCACAAAGACTTGTATGTTCATGTTCCTAGGCTCTGATGATACAACTCTTCTGTAATGTATTAAAGTAAAATTAAAAATATAGTCTTGCTCTCCTTTGTCGTGCAAGCTCTATAGAAACTAACCTCAATATTTTAGTATTTTAAATGCAATAAAAGCAGCAAGAAAACAACTAATTTCACTAAGTAGATACATATATAAAAAGGAATTCATAATGGACTCATTACAAGAAAACCATCATAAGCTATGGCTAATCTGAATTATGAAGTTCTCTTCACGGTAAAACTTCTTATCTTTTTCTTTATTTGTTTAAACAGATACTAAAAATGACAATTGTCTTGATTACACAAGACCAGAGATTCCAGTGAACAAGTACTGAGCTAGTGAACGGGACAACCACATGGTATGAAAGATTAAAATATGCATCCTCTAAGATTAAACATAACAACAGATTACAAGATTTAAAACAAGTTTTTTTTGCAAGACTACTCTACCTTGTAGAGCTATCAGAATTTTATTCACCAAATAAAATGATATCACCTGCGTTAGTCTCTCTCTTTTACATATCAGTCACATTTTCCTTAAGGGGTCATAATGCATTTTTTTCACAATCCCAAAAATTCTTCCCAATTTCATCCTTAAGCTAATCTATAAACACACACATTTTTCTTAGCAAAAGCAGACAAAACTGATTTCCGTATTGTATTAATCAATATACGTTCTTAATTGGCTAGAAGGGTTTTAGTGAGTCATATAGGTATTCCTAGTTTGGCCTAGAGCATGAAACCTCTCTTTCACAACAATAGAAAGCCCTATACTTATTCTAAAATCATCACTAAATTGTCAAAATATATTAGATTTTCTATACAGAGAAGACTCAGACATACTATTCAATAATTAAATATAATCACCTGTGGTGCTTCATGCCCTTTTCTACTATAGTTCTGAATAAAGTCCACCAGCCCATGTACCACAGTCTTCACAGCCACCATTGCATTCTCCAGCTGCTCCCATGTTGGAGACGTTGCATCTAAGATTGTTAAAACAGGCTTAGAGTTTGACAGTGAATATAATATCATTATCTTAAATAAGAGGCAACTGTTATATCATGCCAGAGACCCAGCAAAAGGATTAATTAGAAAGAATATTGAGAAAACAGCATATGTTGTGCCACTCCCATTGCTAGGAATGTTTGAGAGCAGAAACATAATTTTCTATCTAGGGACAGTCACAGTTTTTACATACAAAAAGGGAAAATGTAAAAGAAAACTATTAGCACCACTTGCATACCTGGATTAGGATCTATGTTTGCTAGAAGCTCTAAGTGAGGCCTCAGTCTGTTTAAGTTTGCTGGATCACCTGTACGTTGCAAGACAATTGTCAACTCCTGTACACTCTTTGCAAATGACTCTGGCGATTGAAGCTGTAAACAAAGGCAGTCTTAGTGCTTTCTGTTCTATAAATGGGACATTTTAATTGAAAAAAATATTCTCATTTTCCTCATGAATGCAGGGTCCCAAATTGGATGGGGTAGTGTCTTCAGATTGCATACACAGATATCAGTGGTGAGAGATGATACTTCTCAGCTCAGAATCTGCCCTATGCAGCTTCATCATAAGACACTAGAATAAGTGATATTTTGTGGTGCTTCACTGTGACCCTTGTAGCTATTAAAAAACTGAAGGGTCTCTGTACAAAGGTGACACAGGAAAAAAACTCCATCTCAATCCCTAATTACGAGACATCTTATTTAAATTTGAGAGGTTCTACACAGTTTACAAACGATTTTAGTATTACACCTTTTAACAGTTTAATCTAGTGAGGATAGGATACTAAATCCTCCCGCCCAAGACAAACCTTATCAATAATGGACTGCATGTGTGACTTATGTGCTAAGTCACCATAAAGAAGGGAAGACCACTGTTCTGGTGATATTCGAAGCCCTGCTTCCATGGCAATGTGAACAATTTGGGCATCATGCTCCCTCCGCAAAGCTTCATAACTCCGAAATTCCTCTTTCAGCTGCATCAGAGAAGAATCTTCATCCCTTTTTGTGACCTGAAAAAAATCCAACAATGCTTAAAGAATTCATATTTCTTTAAGTACATCTAAGAGATTAGGTATATACCACAGCCTACAAAAACAGGCATGACTCAGTAGATAACATGAACACTGGTCTTCCAAATGCTCATCTTCCCAGGTGATAATATTAATACCAAGATATCCAAGCATTTAAATGTATAGGATCATTATTATAAGGATATGACATCAACTCAAGCAATTTTAGCTCTGATAGTAATTGGATTTGTTTAAATCTATAAAGCTATGAAGTGGTTGGCTGGATATGCAGCTATAGGGTTAGTTCTTCAGCTCCACGTGCCCAAATGTTAAAGGCCAGCTCAAAATGACAGGAAACACTAGAAATTATTAAATGAGAAAAGAGAAAAAAAGCTGCATGATAAAAAGCTGCAGGGTACTCTTAAACTATAGAAGATACTTATCTGAAAAAGCTGTATTACCTATATAATTAAAAATATCTACCTCACCTTTCATTTGAAGACTGCATGCTTCACTGTATTAAACAACATAAATACATTTTTAACTGGAGTTACCCCATTTTAAAGAAGGATAAATTGAGACATATTAAGGCACAAGGTCTCTTATTTTGTCTGTGACAAAGACAAGAATAAAAGCCAATAGCTATGACTTCCCAATTCTTTACCTCTGAGAAACGCTTCATCTTTTTAAAAAGAAAATAAAAGGACATGATATACTGTAATTGCTGACATTATGATGCTTGTCTAGACAAACATTCTGCAACTCTTATTTTAAGGAAAGAGATGAATGGCAAGTATCATTGCTAATGGGCACAAATCATATTATTGCTTAAATTATGCATGTATCATCAAGATTATTGTTTTTTTTATGTCCTGAAATAAAAGTCAAGCCACCTGTAATGCCTTTCAACATGATAGCTTCTATATCAAATACTGATATCCTATCAAAAATGTCTTGATCAGACTCCCATCTTTGTTAGATGTCTGCTATTATTTTAATGCTTTTCTGGGTCCATTAATATCTCAATGACCATGCCCTGCATTGCTGTGAAGGAAAGCTGAGTTTATGCCTAACACTGTTTATGACACTCAAAGTTGGAAGCCATTCAGTAAAGAACAGATGAACGTAAGCACTGAACATATGTATTAAGATTTACTAAAATCCAGAAACTTCAATTTCACCTGCTCCTTGAATGCAGAGGTTACTGCTAGTGGGATTAGAAGATTAAGTGCTTTCAGATATCTCCTCGATGCCTTGTTCTGTCTTCTGAATGGGCAACATCTGAATCTAGCAGTGTGTTACAAGCAAAATATATTTATGCTAAGAAGTGTTCCTTGGAACGATATCCTGAACTTGCTGAGGAATCAAACAAATCAAAGAACCAACTGGCTTTGGGCTATCCAACCAAAAGGCAGTTGTCATTTTAAATTCCAGTATTTTACCTTAAAGCATGATGCTCTATACAGTAGCTGCACAACATGACCAATGCTCGTTTTAGATGCCTGAGGAAATCTTGGTTCTAGTCTTTGCACAACAAAAAGTACTAAAACTTTTCTTGAGAGTGCAGAGCCATCTTCCAGTGCCAGTAATACAAGCTTCAAAGCTTCTTCTTGCATAGCTTTAAACACATATATAAAAATAAATGGTCAGAATAAAAGTACTATTACTGCATATCAGGAGCGTAAGCAAGAATATTTAGGTTGATAAATGTTGTCCACATTACCTTATTATTTTTATTATAACAACCAAACATAGCAGAAAACAGGAAGCAAAAACTTCAAATCTGCTAGTCCAGATAAAAAAAAGCAATTTTTAGAAGTGCTACAAGTGCCATAAATGGTTCAAGTAAAAAGGAAAACAGACTGATTTAGAGATCTGGCTTACAGTTCAACTTGCTTTGGACACCTTGTCCATTCTAGGAAGCTAAACGAAACATGACTGTAGGACTGGTCCAGCAATGCTGGAACTAACTGCTAGAATCAGAAGTGGATTACATTTCCAGTTTTAACACAATTTGCTGTTGAATCCTGTGCTCACTTTGGGAACACTCTGACTAGTAACACTTAATTTATACCAAAGATTCCAAAGCCATAATTATGACTTGGCTCCCGTGGCATGCCTTCACTAAGTCACTTAGACTGGTGCTGCTGGATCCTATGACTTAAGCATAGGAATAAACAGTAGACTCTGTATTAGGAACTGTGTTTCTATGCTCTAATCATAGCATTCAATGTCATCAGCCTGTATTACACACTAATGTTGTGCTACAGATATTAAGGAAAATATATCTAATTATACTTCACCAGTATTTGTGGTGTATTTCCCTGCACTATTTAAAGACAGACACTGACAACACCAGTGGTATACTGGAAAAGATCCCTGACTCCCTTCCTTATCTTCCCCTTTTGCTCCTCTGCAGACCACTGGGAAGACAACACTTCTACCTTGAAAATGCAAAGAGAAAATTCTCTAGGCCTATTCTTGGTAAGAAACGGAGCAGCCAAATCCCTTCTGCTGGGGATTCTGAAAATGTCTTACCTGGCCCTAGGAACTGGCATCCTCGTGCCCTGACAGCAGCCCAAAGATTGGCAGACAGCTGCTGAGGATTTTGGTGCTGCAAAATCAATTCGGTTACAGTTCTTTCTCCAAGTGAACGAGCTGCACGCATGGCTCTAACCCGACCCTCCTCCTCCACCAGCTGACAATTTACCAGCGTCACCAGCTTCCTTTGCATTGGACGGCTCAGTGCACTCTGATTCAAACTAGCAACACCTTTAAAGAAAGAGGCAAATAGTTAAAGGCTAATCATGAGAAGACCAATTATTCAAATAAGTTCACAGTAAAAAAGAATTTTGAATAAGCGCTTAAGTTAGACGCCAATGTCAAACCCAGCATGAGCACTCTCAGCTTAAGGGGCTACTCACTATGATCTCTAGCTCAGTAGCAGGACCCATTATGTGCAGTGCTGTACAATCATATGTGGACAGCTGACTAACAAAAGACATTTAAATTAAAATCTTGCTCCTATTTATGTAAAACTGAAACTTCCTGTCTAGCAAGAAGAGAGTTTGGATTCCCGTTCAAAGCTGCTCATATGAGAAGATTATTCAAAGGGATGTTAGTCAAAAGCCAAGACAATATAATAGTTGCAAGACAGCTATTTATAAAGCATCCGAGGTGCATGCAGACCAGTAAAGTGATAGAGGGACAGGTTACCAGAAATGTGGGAGGAGTACTGCTTTGGGGCATGAAACCAGTTAGCACTGAGGACATACTGCTACTAAGAGTAAGCTAACATGTTATAATAAGAATTCTACAGTTTAAGAAGACTTACCCTTTCCTCCACTTAGTGGTTTCAGGTATAGTGCCAAATCCTCAACGCACTTCTTTGCTACCTCATAATGTTTGTTCTCTCCTAGGTTACTTAACTTTACTGTCTGATGATCTGGTACCTAAAAGAATGCAAATAAGAGGTGTAGCTCACATACACGCTCACTGTCATATCTGACCTTACTCACCAAACACTTAACGTGGTATAAACATTATTAATAATTACGAAACACAACAGGTGTATGCTGCTTTTCAGAGTTGAAAGACAAGTAAATCTTAATGTGCTCGTAATATCATTAGACATAACACAACACGGGACTGCACAAGATGAGCATTACAACGATGAAAGATTAGGATGCATTTATTGTTATTGCACATTTCATGTGGCCCTTTTGAGTGACTTGTTAAAATACAGGGACTACAGAGGAATTTAAGGCAAAAGGAAGACCTGTGGATGAAAGATGAGCTGAAAAAACTGACCTTGGGAGATGTATTTGAAAGATGAGTGCGAGGCACACAGGGTCTGAGAGGATGATCAATGCATGGGATCAACACGAGGGCCGCATCCAGACAAGCCTGGCCGTGTGGTACGTTCAGTTGTTCTCCATGCTGCAAGGGAGCAGCGCGGAGGGTTTTTTGACCCCTGGGTCAAAAAAAAACCCACAGAGAAAAAAAGCAAAGCAGCGCACGCATGGGCAGCGCACACCACTCAAAAGCAGAGCTAGGCCACCCTGAGCTGCACTGCGGCTGCCAGCCAGGCTCTGTGCAGCAGAATCGCTGCTGCTGCAGCCCTGGGAGGACCCCAGGGCCCCAGGCAAGGCTGCTGTGTCCAGCCAAGTGCTGGCTCCAGCCTCCCCTACTGCCTGTGGGGAAACTGGTTGTGCGCCAGAGTGGGCGTGGCACAAGTGTTCCCCAAGAACAATTAGCGGCAGCGCAAGGTGCACTGCCGCTAGTTGTCCCCAGGGAACCAAATGTCCACAGCACGTGTGGATGCAGCCAAGAAGTGCAAAGTTGCTTGTAGGAAGAAACAATGGACAATAAATGATTAAATAAACTAGCCAAGTACATGGTAAGAAAATGCTAAGGAATAGGAATGAGAAAGAAATGCAGGCAGACAAATAGTTCTGCAGGCTGGGTCTAAACTTAGTGCAAGACCTGAGGTGGAGGTAATAAGTGCAAAGTGCCAAAAAACAAAGGGTATCTGAGCTGTATCTGAGCGCTCCTCATGGTCAGAAATGGGGAGGTCAGAGAAAGCAAAGGTTGCACTAACAAGACAAAGTGGCTATGACACAGTTAGCAGTAGAAAATGAAGTGAATGCATGGATTTGAGAAGTGAAACCATACAAGCCTAGAGCCCTGTGTTCCATAAAACACAATGTTTATTGTGACTGTTACTTGAGGATGTGAGACAAACTAAATAAGCAATACATTAAACAACCCACAATAAAAACATCCTCTTCTATTGTCCCTTCAATATTTTTAGATTGTTAGCTTGAAAAAGATACACATTTTGGAATATACAAAGGCACAAGTGAGACAGATGCACTTACAAGTTTCCTGCAGTGTGATGCTGATTGTATAGCCTTTCTTATGTCACCACTACAAGGCACTGAAGAAAAAAATTCCTAACTTGATTAATTGATTAGATTGTGCCTCCAAAAACAAATCAAAAGTTTGCACTTTCCGTGCTTGAAAAATAATTGAAAGTTTGAACCTGGGTCAAATGGTCCGTTTTTGTTTTTTTGAACATATAGCATTAAGGGAACTAATTCCCAGTGGAGGGAAGGATGAATGAATGTAATCTGTAGATTAACTTCTTTCTGATGACAGTGCTTACAGATAATTAACCATCTATTCTCTAAATAGTGTTTTTCAGCAAAGGCCTGCTGCTGTACACTCCACCATGTTGAAAGACTCCTTTAAAATTGTAGCATAGGCATTCTCTGTCCAAAATTAAAGCATAGCTCAAGAATATTGTTAAAGCAGAATCCTGTCCAGACAGAGAGACGGAATTTTAACTCTAGCAATGGACAGCTGCCTTGTAAGCTGGTTCCATGATGTATTTGTTTTTGTAAAGTGCAAAGGTCTTAAAAAAATGCTTCAAAGATCAAGTCTTTTACTTTCCTGACTTGGGACAGGGAAGGAAGTTAGCATACCTGCAGTAACTGTGAAAGTAAGCAGTAATGTGAAAGACTGAAATACAGCAAAGAACTCCTTACGTCATACCTGGGCTCCAACTAATTGAAGAAGTGCAAAGTTTACAGGAAGCACATCGATGTCTGTATTGATAGCAGTCTGGTCGAAAGGACATGCCTTGCGATGAAGCTTGTTCAGGCAGGTCTTACAGACAGTGTGGGAGCAACCTAAACTGATGGGTTTGTGCACATTCTCATCAAACTCGTTGTAGCAGATTGGACAGGACAGAAACTCTGTCCACTGAGCTGCCTGCACAGGCATTGTGGAACCTGGACACTCGCTTAGCAGACTAGCAGATCATTATTTCACTGTTTTATATTTTGGTAGCTGTAAAGTGAATGAACAGAATATTTAGTACTTTGATACATGCTTTCCAGTAATTTATTATTAGTTTTTAATTAAAGCAGCACCATTTAAATATTTTACAGAATAAAAACCAAAGCCTTATGCTGAACTCTCCTACAATGAATCCAACCTTCTGTGTTATCTAAAACTATGGTAACAGTTCAATAATCCCATCAGAAAGATTCACATGCTGCCAAGCTAGTCTGCACTAATCCAGACTGTGAGCCTCATCTAGTAAATGGCATCACTGTTCCTTTTACAGGATTAAATACACCTCTGGGGAAAGGGCAATGAGGGGCGGGGCAAAACAAATGGTCGGCACAAATCCAAGTAATGGAGTACCTTTCTGAATGGCAGGTACCAGTCCAGTTCACAATTTCCAAAAGCTAACAGCATTCCATTACTAATGAATGGGAGGGAAAAAACAATAAAGACATTTTATTTATTTTACTAACATATGAAGTTGAGTGAAACAGGATCACTAGTGTTCCACTTTATCAATCATAGTCAAACTTAATCAGACATCAGGGTGCAGACAGCTTTATGAAAACATAACTCACTACACACTTTGGGGGTCTTTTTTAAGTTGGTAAAGACATTTATTGCCAGAACAGAAGAATAATTCCGTGCTCATTCCTCTCTCCTTTCTAAAACCCTGTCAGAGGGTTAGTCCTTGGGGTACAGATTTCTGTCTTTGCAGTATTTGCTTTTCGCACAGTTTGTACCTCACAGCCAGCACAATAAAACACTACTTATGTAAGTCCATGGCAGAAAGTTCTCTGATGTCCTGGAAAACTGGGTGTTTAAGGTAATTACACAGTTTACACCTTATTCACAAAACTGTTTACATAGCTTAGTACCAGACAGCTCCTCAGAAAGGAAATATAAAAATATGGAGACCAAATTAAACATGGAAAGTATCATTAAAAAAAAAATCAAAATAAAACAAGCAGTAGCTGTAATTTGTTAACAGCTGTCCTTCCTTTTATAACATATCATTTTGGATACAGATTCATGCAAACTGTGTGTAACAACATATGGGGGGTGGAGGGGAATGGGGAGAGGCTTATTTTAAAAAGGATAGCCCTCTGTGTATAATCTGAGGTTAAGGGAATGACAAGACCAAACACTTAGTCTATTCCAGCCTAAGAAGAACAGCTAAACCATTTAAATTCAAGCCTCCATTATAAAGTCTACAAGAAACTGCTAATTCAATAAATGTTCAAAATAAAGAGCCACACCCATAACTACTGCATTGTGCTACAATCTACTTGTGGTTTTCAGATTACCATGAAACCCTGAAACCAGTTGGTTTACTTCCATGGTATTTATGAACCTACCCACTTAGCACATTTCTATTTAGAAATGCAAATGCACTCGCATGCGTGCATTTATTGCTGTATTTATAAACAATTAGATTTTTTCTTTTTTTCCTCAGTGGTGGAAAATAATAATATGCTGAGAAAGCTAAGAGCTCCCTGTCCCACCTGAATTCAACAACTTTTCATTTAAAATCAGTTCCCGGCTGCTCGATAGTTTAATTAGTGATATTATGTTAGACTACTGAAACACTTACTAGAACACTGAATAGACTTGATATGGGAACGTATTTTATTTTAATTATGACCATCTGTTTAGAAATTCTATTTAGCACTATGAGTATCCAATGTCCTTTAAGTAACAGGATACTTGTACAAGATGTTCTTACTCAATCAGCTTTTCAACATCATTTGGTTATTTTTATTAATTCTGATACTAAATGTAAGACAACATAGAACATTTAAGTTTGAAACCATCCCGCTCAAACTAAATGTCGATCCAGTACCTTCAGCACAAAACCAGAGTATTCAGAGATAGTTAGTTAGGTGTCTTTTCACTGAACTACTAAACAACAAACCTTTTTAGGCAAAAAAGTATGTCTGTAAGGTTTGTCAATGTTACAATCATCTGCAAATGTAGAAATTTAGCAGCAAAATAAGTTACAGCCAACAAAACCCTAGGAAGCACCCTTTGATTTCCTTGTCAAGGTAAATAAACGACTCTTCTGCTTAACGAATCCACTTCAACTTCTGAGTATGAAAAAGCAGACCAAGAGATGTGTGGTTACGGAAGAAGGCTCCACCTAGCTTTTCCTTAATGTTTCCCACTATTGCTTCCACAGGTGCATCTCTACCTGTGCCAGCCTGCCTGATGGCGGTCAACGGCATTCACCTCCTTGTCACGTTTATGATACGGTTAACAGAGTGGCAGCTGTACTATTCAGGGGGGTCCCCTACTGCTACTACGCTTAACAAGTGGGGCATTTTAAGAAAGAAGTCTAGCATATTCACAACCTAGGGGTGTCTTTACACATTCTCCAGGGGTGGGAAGGGGCACTTTAATTAAGTGGCTTTTCGGAGCTGGTCTTATTAAAGCACTCACAGCATCTCGTATATTCAGCATCCTGTGCTTCAAAATGGCGGTGTGGGCGCTTTAACTAAAGCGCGGGCGATGAGCTTTAAAGTGCCTCACCGCCATTTTGGAGCATGGGGATGCTGAATACACAAGTTGCTGAGGCTGCTGGAGCATGCTAATTAGATTAATTGAGTCTGCTCCGATGAGCTGTAATTATAGTGCATGGAAGCAGACGTCCTGCATGTCTACGGGCACTAGCATGCTATGGATAGTTACTGATACTCAACTGAATGACGAGTGTGTATTCTCACATCTGTCATTAACCAAATCAAAAGGCTGTATCTTTGTGCAAAGACAGTATGAATGACTTAACCCCCCACAATTCCTCTGGAAACTTGCAGGACGCCGCAGCATTCCTTTTTCCAAAATTCTAAAATAATTTTATGTCCCTCCAGCCATCATTTTTCTGGTAAGTGCTGAAATGTGGTATAAATTAAATAGGAGTAAATCAAACAACAAAAGTATATCACCAGCTTCTAAGGTCTTACTTTGAATATTTAATCATCATAAAAGACATGGATTCTATTGAGCATGTGTTGACCTTCAGATTTCTTGACAAGGAGGCATCTAATTAAATCAGCAACAGCTGGGGAAGGCTCACAACTCCTCAAACTTCAAGAAGCCATATTCAGACGAGGCCTTCCATACTCTGGTTCAAGCACACCAACTCTTCTGCCATTCTTGTGCTCCAGCATGTTCAGAAAGGATTCTAACTAAAATCCTCTAATTATCATGTCAATTCTTCAAAGTGTAAAGGAACAAAAAAGAATGGACTCTTGTTTTTCTGACAAGGAACATCATTTGGAGATGTCTGGTTGAAAAGCAAGTTGGCTCCAATAATCTCAAAATTGAAAAAAAAAAAGAATGAAAGTGCCTACCAAAGACCATGTGTAAAAGGCTTGCCAGTTTAAAAAAAAAAGAAAAAAAAGAAAAGGAAATATGTTCAGGTAGTACAATTACCCTTGAGATCCCTTGGTCTTTCAGATGGCTTCACAATATTAAAAAAAAACAACCAAAAAAACAAGTCTCTGCTCTGCTGCTCTGAAATAAACCTGAAAACACAACACAGAAAATGGCTAGGCAGAATGCTGTCAAACATACAACGTATATAAATTGAAGAGACAAATGCACCTTAACTTACTACTAGGTAAAAATAGTCTTAAACAGTTTGGATTTTTCAGCAGATAGTGTCTTATTAAAAGCAACACCTTAGATCCTCAGATTATTATAACTGAAGATTGCATAAATCTAAATTTACTGTATTCTACTGATTATGTAACTTTTACATTTGGGATAGATGGGAGCCAAATTTCACTTTACAGCTGTGCTGCAGTAGCAAAATGCTGTTGCATTTGAGTTTACAATGCTGCAGAGGAGTTTAAGCTTGCCCATGTTTACTTGATTGTGTTTAAGTCATGAAAATTTTGATTCAGCTACCTGATGAAATGACTTCAAAGTCAGAAAACTTGCCTTTGTTATTAAATGGCTTCATAGGTCATTAAATGAATGTAGTAGCAAAGTGTAAGGAGCCCATATTTTAAGCCATTTCTTATGATTACTAAATACCACCATCTTCTTTATGGTCACTGAAAGTCAGCCTATTGTCTTCACAGAGCTTTGGAGAAGGCCCTTTTAAAATTCTTATTAAGTCTACTCAACTTTTAAGGCCTAAGGGTTAGATCCATAAGAGGTTGTAGCATGCAGCTTTCAGATGCCTGGCATCCTCTGTGGGCTCCCTACGCAAGGTATGGGGAACCTGGCACTTAAAATGAGAATCAATAACCACTGTACTGTCCAGGGGGTGCCTCAGTGTCTAGTCAGAAACTCTGACAGCAGGGCTCCAACCTGTCCTCCTCTTGGGTTTAGATGCTTAACTCCAGGCTGCATGGAGCCTCAACCCTCTCCTGGAGTCAGGGACCCTTTAGTTAAAACATGAAGCAGGATCATCCTTTTTCTTTTAAAAAGCAGCTAGAGGTTGTGTTGCTGCTCCCCTTCTATATAGTAGCCCAGTGGTCAGAGAATGAACTCAGGATGTGGGAAATACTGGTTCAACTTCTTCTTCGCTGAAGATGGTTCAAATCTACATTTCCTACTTCCCAGAAGAGTGCCTGAAGGCACTTTCAACCTCTGTGGGTACAGCTGTTCCACACTGCAGAAAAGGATTAAATTCACTTGATCAGTAGCACTTACCTCCTCGCCCAAGGTTTAGGGCACTTGCCTCAGAAGAGAAAGACAAGTGTTCTGTATCCATGCTCCAAGAACTGCTTCTGTATTTCATGCCATGACTGTTTAATGTAAAATGCATGAGCAGCCCTCTGAGCAGTGACCAGAACCCAGGTCCCTCTCCCTCACACCTGTCTACCCTAACTACTAGGCTACAAAATAATACATTATCTTCCTCCCCTTATGACAAATCTGATTTTTTTTTCTTCATAGTGAACCAGCTTCAATGGAACGGCACAGGGTGCCCTTTCCCCTGAATAGCGCAGTCCTGGTGTTTAAGGCACTCTTCTGAGAGGTGGGAGTTGGGGCAGTTCTGGGAGTCCCATTCAGGCTGAGAAGAGAACTGAACCTTCGCCACCCACATTGTGACGTGGTGTGAAAGAGGAGAGCAGCACCACCACTTCTCCAGCACCTGTGCTGGACAAAAGTGGCAACTGGTCCTGCAGGTGTGCTCTGAGAAAGCCCAGCAGGTTGGGCCCCTTAGGGCAGAGGCAGAGGAAAACTCCAATGTGGCTTAGGCACAAGGTACTGGTGAGCAGCTCAGGACCGAGGCACACAAAGAACCTCTGGTGTCTGTATTGGTGAAAAATTAAGGAACTACATGGGGGTTTTGAGGACTTCCCTTAACTTCCTAAATATATTTGTGGATCTAGTCCTGAGTATATTAAGTATTAAAAAGTATTTAATACTAATTTTACAACAATACTGATTATAACTTAAAGTATATTACTTCAGTACAAAACTGAGTTGTTCTGTACATTATAACTGGATGCACACGTAATGGGATCTTAAAACTCAGTTTTAAGGCATCTATTGTAATTTTCCATCTGTACAATCAATTTAAACAGTTTCCTGGTTTCCAGGAAAGTAGCCTTGTCAAGCCTTTCTTCTGAAGTTTAAGAGTTGAAAGAATTTCATCTCGGTCGATAACTTGGTGTCCAAGTTATCAAATTATTAGTATTAAATTACTTCCTGAAAGGATTTCAGTCTTTTATTCATTGCTCTTCTGGTAACCATCAACTATAGATTTAAGAAAGTAGCTTCATATTAAAAGCCTGGTAAAGGGATGGTCCCAATAATAGCACTGCATCTTTTAGCTATGATGACTTGAAAGTGAAAATAAATCTTCTTTAGATAGAGGATTCTTGCTTGTTTCTGCATATTGTGTAAAGACCATGACACGTAAATCTCCTGAACAGCAGGAGAGATATGAAGGGAACTGCTGCAGGACAATATTTCATGATACTGTTTGATCTGACTTTTTATTGGAAACCCAAATTTACCCTGCGGGAGAGCAGGACAATCAAATTACGGGAAGGGATGGTTTGTTTAAGGAGCACTACATCAGTGTGACTGCAATCTGAAGAGATCAAAATACTGCTTCCCACAGCATGGAACTGAGCTAATGATGTTGCTGGTGGCTTGTGTTGAACAACAACCAAACGACTTGGTTAAAATTCCTTTACCAGAAGGGCTAAAAAGTCTATTGTTGGACCCTGTCCATATGCCCAATTCAACATTTTTTCTCGGGGTGATTTATAGACATTTCTATGGTGTTATTTATGCTATCATAGTATCCCACTAGTCTATATATGTCCACTCTAGAAAAAAAACATTGTCAAAGCTTCTACTGGGAGATTTGTGAAGATTATCACTTACTATCATCCCAGAAGGTACATACTTAAAAAAAAAAAAAAAACACAAAAAAAACCCTCCTAGGGCATTTAAGTGAGGGAAGGTTATATCAGAAAAACCCTAAAATAAAAGTGGTACACTGAGATCTAGGTAAATTGTTGCTTCATGACTTTCAGATAAGATTTCCCTAGTTTGGAAAGAAAAGTGTGCAAGGTTTTTTGGGGGTTTTTGGGGGGGGGGGGGGGGGGACGATGCTTGTGCTATGGTCACCATGGTTTCTCATAGTTAAAATGTGTTCAGTTCAAGCATAATGGCCCATAGTAAGGATTCTGCACATTGAACACTCCTCTGTTATACTTATATAATTGTGTTTGCTGTGGGGTTACAGAAATGTAACTAATGGCAGAACTTATTTTTGCCATAAGCCTAATAAGTCACGGGAGACGGATTCTTAACTGCATTTCAGGACAGACACACACACAAAACTCAGTCAAAATTAAAAAAAGGAACAAACCAACCCCCCCCAAAATGAACCCAAAACAAACAAAAACGCATGTCTGGCGATTAAGGAAGTGATATTTTTAGAGTCACTTTTCAGACTAGATCTGTACTCTCTCTTTCTGTTGCACAAATATTGATCTCGCAACCGAGGCAGCCGTACGCGGGTCGGGTCAATTCTCCCGTATCTATCATGAATCGTCTTCTCCCTCCCATGTCCTACACCTTCTCCTTCTACAAGAAAAGTTCTGCGTACTAACATAGGTCTCAAGTCACTTTTATGGAAAGAAGGAAGAAATCCCTAGAGACCGGCGCGGAAATAAGAGGCGTCTGGGAGAAGTGCGGAGACGCTTAGTGGGTCCCCAGCAGCGCTGCACGCCCACGGATGGATCCGTTCATTAGTTCACGGGCATTATCCCACCACGGGGACAAGGATGCCGCTCGCGGGCAGGTCGTTACAACTCTCTGGCAACCAGAGCGCGGCGCTCGAAGGCGCTGTGCTCGGCACGCGCGTTTCGGGGGCATGGCGGGGAAGGGGCTGGGGCTCCACGTCCAGGATCGGGCCCCTCGTGGCTGCCGCGCCACCGACGCCGCACGAGCTGAAGCTGCCGGCGTTTTCAGCGCTGCGGAAAGCGACCTCGAGCCGTCCTCGCGCTCCCAACGGGAATCACCCCCGACGCCGCGATGCGCATCACGGCCCGTCATCGCGAACGAGCTTTTAGGAGATTTCTGCGCGGGACCCGGTTCTCCGACCGGAGCCCCGCCGTCCCGTGCCGAGGTGGGCGTACGGAGCGTGGGAAAAGCCCCCCCCATTTAAAAAGCGACAACCGACGAAGACCGAGAGGCCAGGAATATCGCGAAATAACCACGCGTGTGGCGCTCGGTTCGTGCCCCCTCCGCACCCCGCAAGGGCCGCGGGACGGCTAAGCCGCGATTCAGAAGGCGGCAAATTACACGCGATCCCCGGTCGGGTCCATGTTTGCCCCCGTT